ATTCAAGAAAGGCAAAAAATGTTGCAAAGTTAGAACTAAGTATGGTATGTTGTCATTCTCATAAAAATCACGACCATTGATAAGCTGCCTACGACATTCCAGCATTAATTTGACAGTCGGATGATCTCGAATGGCCAACAATTTCATTATAAATTTAATTGACAGCATTTTTCTCCTTTGTTCTGGTTCTACTATTGCCGCTTCAGAAAGGATTGCTAATCTAGGCGATGATCTCATGCACCCCAAACATATTCTCAACCCTTCATAAAATACTTTGTCAATCTTATCAAAATTCTTCAGACTACCTGGTTTAATAAAAATTGCACCAAAATCCAAGTGGGATCTAACCAACGCATGAAAAGCTGTTAACATAGTATAGGGATCTGCTCCCCACCAGACTCTACAAATGGCTTTCAAAACATTCAAAGATTTTCTTGCTTTCGTTGTGATTAGCTCCACATGTGCATCCCACTTGAGATGGTTCTGAAACATCACTCCCAGATATTTAACCTGCTGTCGAAAAACAATGGATTGATTATTGAATCTAATGGGTAAAGGAATTGTTTTTCTTCTGCCTTTTGTGAACCACATCGCTTCACACTTGTTTGGTGCCAGGGATAGGTTGTTTTCCCTTAACCAATCATCTATCTTTTCCAAAGCCAAATTTATTTCTGCAAGCATCTCCTCCAAACAATTACCCTTTATGGAAATCACCAGATCGTCTGCATATCCAATCAGAGAGACATTTCCCAGTTCCAATTTAAAGAGTTCTGCAACGTATACGTTAAAAAGAATAGTACTTAATGGAGAGCCTTGAGGTAGACCCCTTGTTGCCAGAAAAGGGCCCAATAATGTGCCCATGTTAGTTTTGCTATATAGTAGTCTTGTCCTAAGAAATAAATGAATGAGATTGTTGATTTCCGGTGGTATGTCCAATGTTTGGAGTTTATTATATAGTCTATATATGTTTACATTATCATATGCGGCCTTAATGTCTAAAAAAACTGCCACCACTGTCTTTGAAGAAAGAAAAGCATCGAATATATACATAGATAAATAGGCTATGTTGTCATAAATTCCTCTTCCCTTCCTAAAACCCAACTGATTATTATTAAATTTTTGTTTATTTTCTAATTGCCAATCTAGTCTGTTTTTAATCATAGTTTCTAATATTTTACCCCCACAAGGTGAAAGTGCAATGGGCCTATAATTCTCAGCCAATGTTGGGTCCTTATTTGGCTTCAAAAAGCTGATAACATTAATCTTTTTCCAGGATTGTGGGATCTTTTCTCCCATTAGGTTTTTGTTAAACAAATTCAACAAAATTTGTTTTCCTCTTAAGGGTAAATTCCTGAACATCAGGTAGGTAATGTCATCCAAGCCTGGTGCTGAAAGTTTTTTATTTCTTAAAGCAGATTCCATTTCTTGCAGGGAAAATAACTTAATATTGTTTACATCATCGGGGGGGACCATTAAAAATTCCGGATCAATATTGATGCTGGCCATATTTTGTAGAATGTTCAATTTTAATTTGTCATCTGTCATACAAAGGTTATTATTTTTGTGAATGTTGGAGAATTTTTTAATTTTGTTCCAAACATAGCTAATATTTGAGTTCCTATTCAGGGATTCACAGAAAGTAACAAATTTTTCTCTTTTTTTCTTTTTTAAATTTCTCTTTACCACCGCCATTTCTCTTTTTACTGCAATGAAATTTTCAAGTGAAGGATGATTATTAAATTTTTCTATAGCATTTCTTCTATTCTGAATCCATCCAGAACATTCTTCGTCCCACCAGGGGTTGCCGGCCCCTTTAAATAAACCACAGTTTTTATATGGAATAGATTCTTCTGCTGCCAGGTTCATCATATTAACGATGTCCTCATAACCTATATTGACATTTGATGTGTCGATATAAGAAGCAATTCTATCATGATAACATTTCCAATCAGCCTTGTCAAAGTTTCTTCTTCTAAATCCTGGGTAAAAGGTTTTACTTAAATTATTGTTATCCCTCACGTTGACTTTCAATACGGTTGGATAATGATCACTATTACCACAGTCCTTTAGGACGTCCCATGTGAATTTAATTGCCAGTGCACCATTGAGAATTGCTAGGTCCACCGCACTGAGATTGCAAGTCGGATTCTGCATAAGAGTAGCCGCTCCATTATTCATGATAACAAGATCTTTATCAAATATAAATTCTCTTATAATTTTACCTCCCTTGTTAACAGGACTTCTGTCCCACATTGGATGGTGAGAATTCAGATCGCCCATCAATACGCTGTTCTGAGATTCATTGTGATTGTAAAGATTGACAAGAAGATTTTCATTTACTGCAGTATCTCTACTGGCATAAACATTTTTTATAAAAATATCACCCACTTGAATTATTATGTATTGAACAGTTTCCGAATGAAAAACTTTAATTTGTTTAAATTGTATATTTTTTTTAATGCAGGTAGCCACTCCAGTGTACCCATCATCTCTATCTTGCCTAATTATGTAATAGGAGTTCAATATAAATTTTCGTGCGGGGTTCAACCATGTTTCATTTAATAAAATAATATCGGGGTTTTCTTTGAATATTAAATTGTTGAGATTTTCTTGATTGGATTGAATGCTCCTGATGTTCCATTGAATAATTTTAATATTGGACCTAAGTTTTGTTTGTTGATCGAAAATACTAGTGGGGGGTAATATACTAGAACAGGGATTTATTGCTATCAGTCTTCTGAATCACGGTCATATTCCATAATTGAGCCGCGACCCTGTTCCGACAGCAATAGACTTCTTAATACATTTGTTTGCTCTACAGAAGCATGTCTTATAAAGTTAATAATAATATCTAAATTAACATTTTCCAATTTACGAATAGATGAAGATGCACTAGTAGGCTGTAAATTTATTGAATCATTTGACAATGTTTGTTTTTGTTGTGAAAAATACGCTGTAGGGCGTGTATTTTGAATTCTTCCATTGGAGTTGAATAAATTTTCTTCATGTGTTTTCTTATCATAACTTTTTTGAATAATCCTTTTTTTTGTTGGGTTACTAGATACCACTTGTTGAAAAGTACGTTTGATGGGATTATTTTTAAAAGAAGAACTCCTTCTTTCTGAGGGTTCAAAGGTTAAATCGGAGCTACGTTGGGAGTATGTAATGTTACTAGTATTTTGTACTGAGGGGAAGTCTTCACGGTTGAGGGCAAAATCACCCCTGGGAATATAGGTTCTCTTACAACTCTCGCTTGCCTCAAAAAAGGTTAAATTTTCATACGCCATTAGCTCTTTAATATTCTTTTGTCTGGTGTATTCTGGACAAATTTTGGATGTAGATTTATGAGATTCTTTGCAAAAAAAACATGTCATATCATATTGCATGTGAATTCTTCATTCTCATCTAAATGTTTTGGTTCACCACAATTAAAGCAGCGTTCTTTTCCCTTACAATTAACTTTTGTGTGACCATATCGAAGGCACCGATAACACTGTGTAACTGGTGGCACATATACAGAAATATTGAATGAAAGATTGTAAAAATGTACTGCTCTTGGCAGCCTAACTCCTTTAAAGGTAAAAAGAACTGTTCCAGTGGGTTCATAAGAAACCACTTTATCAGTAATTACTTTTCTATTAAGTCTTTTGACGTTAAGGATTTCTATATTTCCATCCATATTACTACATTCCAAGAGTTCTTGTTCTGTAATATCAAAATCAACCTGTCTAGCAATTCCTTTGGACATGACAAAATTGAAAGGTATAAATATTTTATATCCTTTTTTCAAAAGAGTTTGATTTTTAACAAATAAATTTGCTGCACTAAATGATAAGAATTTTTATCATTAGAAATTCTATTTAATCCTTTGTTACTAATTTTTTTAATATCAGCCAGTTTGAGATTAAAAATATCCCTAGCAATTTTAATGTTGTTTACTTTACCAAGGTTGAAACCCACTTTTTCTGTGGATTCCAAGTAAACAATGTATGGGCTTTTATCAATAGCCGAATATAAAATGGTTGGTTTAATTATATTATTTTTTTCAACATCGGTAATTTTTTCTAAATTTTTAATAATTTCTTGGGGCAAACCCTCGTTTCTGGGGGGGTCGCCCACCCCAAATTCATCCATGATTAAAATTCAATATCCCACAACCATTCAATAGCCACCAGTTGAATTTTTTTTTTTTAAGCAAAATAAAAAACAAAAGCAAGGGTGAAAAAGTGAGTTTATCTAATAATGCTCAACTTACCTAAGCTCTGGACTCAAACGAAAACAATACACAGATTAGTAGGTGGAAATTCGCTCTGAAATAGCTAAAACCCGGACAAGAAGCAAAACGATGTTATTCGTATCGAGTTGCAAACCGAAGTGTTTAAATAAGTTTTATTTGTACTTAAGAGTACCTAACCTATATTAAGGAACAGTTACTCGACTTGTTTTTAATACCAGGTGTTGCAAAAGAAATTTTGTCAAATATTGGTGTTAAAATTTACATAACAGACGTTCCTTCTATCTCGTAGAAAAAATAGTGTTCCTAACTCGTGCGGAAAGTCTCTTTTCCGCACTAGTTAGGAAATATACTATATTAAACTTTTTCAGTAACTTTTTGCTCACTAGTGTGTAAAATGAATTTACTTCACACACTAGTGCGGGAAATATAAATTTATGTCCTTTGAAGAGTGACTAATGACCGTTTCCACCAACTCTTTTAGGGGAGCCCTAACGATAAGTGTTCCCTAAACTGACATTTCTCTATGTAAAAATGTCAAATTAGGGAATACTTATCGTTAGGGCTCCCCTAAAATAGTTGGTGGAAACAGCCATAAGTACCTAAGTATTTACACACAGTGGTACAAAATAAAAAGACATTGCTGAAATTTCTAAAAGATAAGCGATTCGCGATTATAAATACCAAAGCCTACTTTCTTTACAGTATAGAGTGCGGTAAAGTGCACTTTACCACACGTTTATAGGTAAAATTTGATAATTCTTACAGATTGCAGAATGTCCAAACACCGGTCGACGTATTCGTGGGGCTCCTTGATTTCCAAGTGATCGTAGAATCCCAATTCGATAATTTTTTTAACCACATCGCAATCGGGGCCAGGAAGAGGTAAGAAATTCATTTTGAGCGATTTTAATTATTATAAAATAATGATTTATTCGATAAATTTACGGAAAACTCCAAGAGATACCAAAATCAAAATGCCGGCCCGGCTTTTGTTTTGCCTTTTGAGGTTAGAGAGGTTTTGTTTTTTGTTTTTGTTGATGAGCAAAAAAACAAATAACATTTGTCAATTGTCATTGCCCAACATACAGCATTCAAAATAAATTCGTTTGGCAACCCTGGATTGATTTGGTTCTTGATTTTTCTGTTGTTCAGCGAGTGACTCCGAGTACTTCCGGAGTGGCAATTTCTTTTTAGTTGGTGCATTAAACCATCATTTAAGTTTTTTTTCTCTGGATCTTGGTTGGGGCTTGTGACTCTATGCGAGCATCAAATATGGCACACTTTAGATTTAAATAAACGTTTTTTTCCGGACCGGAGTTACTCCAAACGAATAGTTCAGGAGCTAGGGAATCTAAACATAGCAGTTTAAAATTATGCATTTAATCTGAACTGAACTGAACTCGTTTCCGAACAAATAAAACTGATTCTGTGCACTATAGAGTACTCCGTTGGCGCTCCAATTGTTCGAGTATGAAATTCAGCGTAATGGATTCAAGCTCACCAGAAACTGCCCCGACTCCATTCAAACTCCACTTTCACTTATATTTTTAATGTCGGCAATTGGCAACACTGTACCTTGACATAGATTTCAACAAACCATTTTTTTTTTGTGTGTTTATTTTTTTTTAATTTTTCTTAACATATTTTTTTAAATAAAACCCCTATAAAATGGAAACTTCCTTGACAAATTACGGTAAGCGATTCGATAAATGCACCATTAACTAACACAAAATTTCCAGAATTAACCGATAGCAAAATAGGCCCCGATTCCGAAAACGGTTCGGATAAAAGCGACCCTATAGAAATTGTCAGCTATGGGGACTACTCCGAATCGAATTCCAGCGGTAGCAGCAATAAATTGCCCGAAGACAACTTCGATAATAACCTTCCCGACACTGTCACTTTGCTAATCCACAAAGACACCGGAGCAAAAGTGTATCTCGTAGGAACTGCTCATTTTAGCAAAGAATCGCAAGACGATGTCGAAATGGTGATTAGAAATGTACGGCCTCAACTTGTTGTAGTTGAATTGTGCAGATCCAGGATGAGTATTTTGGAGCTGGACGAACAAACTGTACTGGAAGAGGCCAAAAACATTGATATGAGCAAGATTATTAATACTATTAAGTCTAATGGGACTGTAAATGGGCTGATGTATTTGTTGTTGCTTAATATGAGCGCTCATATTACTAAGGAGATTGGAATGGCTCCTGGTGGAGAATTTAGAGTGGCTTACAGAGAGGTAACTTGACTTTTTAGATATATTTTGTATCAATATTATCATAAGGTTGATTTGTATTTTAAAACTGTTGCTAGTTCTATTTAATTTTGGGGTAGAACTACCCTGTAGTAAGTTGTTTCCAGTGCCATTCAGCTTGTTTGGTAGAGTAAAAATAAAACGAGAAAAAGCCAGTGACGTCAGCGCTGACAAAGAAGGTAGATTTCATTTTCTCTGGGTCCCTCCTATTTAAAGTGAGACAAACGATAACATGTGTGGCTTCTTCTCGTTTGATTTTTACTCTATAGAATACTGTGGAGTCTTGGACACTTTTTGTTAAACTACAAATGAAGTTTTACCTGACTTGAAAAATGAATGTGTTATGTTACTGATTTCATCCTTTAAACAAATTGCTTTTGGCTCTGGGTACATGAAGACTTAAAGTTTAAAGGTCTTCCTCAAATTGGCACTAAAAACTCTCCAGTTGTTGAAGAGGCCTCCAAGAAACTATTTCTTGTACTTTTTCAAAACAAAAAACGTTTTATTGTTAATTGACAAATCTCTTGCTGAATCACTCTTTTGCTATGACATCTTAGTTTGGGGTGAAATGTATGGTAACCTTTGAATAGAGGTGGAGAACTATCGATAGTCATGACCATCGATAGTCGGGACCTTGACTATCGATAAATATCGATAGTTTTCGATAGTTATTAAATACAAGTTATAAGGTAAAAAGAAAGGTATCTGTGTACTAAAAATCTTTGATTCTAGGAAATAGCTAAATATTAAACTTTAACATCAACATCTGCAGTGAAATTCTGAAAGGAATATTTGCATGATTTTTGCTATCTCTATTGACGTACGTCCCCTCTATTGATTTCGAAAAGAGAGAAGACAGCAAATGCCATAGCGATAGGAATAACGAACTCTATCTGTTACAGAATCCCGCCTTTGATCTTTCATTTGCGGAGAAAATATTTTTTTCTAAAACTAAAAATATCTTATTCTAAAAGCCTAGAAATTTCGTATAAAATCATTATCATTATCATTTCAACATTTTTGGCTTTTAGACGAGAAAACTTTCCATTGTCCCTGAAAAATAAAGCAAGTAGATCAAAAAAGGTTTCCAAACCAGTTAAAACTGTTTTGTTTTGCATTTTTGCAGTTCAGTTTTGTGCACCTACCCTAACTTTCGCTTATTAATAGGCGCTACAGCCAACTATCGAAAACTATCGATAGTAAAAAAAATCGATATATTTCGATAGTCAATACTATCGATAGTTATCGATAGCGCCATCGATAGTTCTCCACCTCTACCTTTGAATATAAAACTACAGGAAGGAGCGTTTTCTATCCGTCACTACAGACAACGCAGGGACGGAAACGGCCATTTTGAGCCTCCAAGTTTGGACTCGTCATTTGTTTTGGTGGTTCGCTGTGTCCTCATTCAAGTGGATGTTTAATGGATTTTAGCGGTTTTAAGTGATAATAAGTATTGGAACAGCAAATTTAAATTCACAAATTGATCCAATGTTGTACCTGCAGGAGGTTTCTATACCGAACAGTTTTTATTTGATACATACTGATATTAGAGAGTTATTGGACTTGCAATAAGGACAAGCAGTATTTAAATTAGCCTTATTTTGACATCTGCGCATGCGCATTTGGGTCCACAAATAAAGATTCTCTTAATAAGGTTACTGCTTGTCTTTAAATAGAGAGTTATTGGACGTGCAATAAGGACAAGCAGTATTTAAATTAGCCTTATTTTGACATCTACACATGCGCATTTGGGTCTGAAAATAAGGATTTCCTTAATAAGGTTACTGCTTGTCTTTATTTGTGTATGGTTAGTGCGAGGCAGTAAACTTCCCTTATTTCAAATTTCTGACATTTTGGACGACTTTGACATTTCGCTTTTCGACGGTGACCTAATTTTACTTGGAAAATGTATTTTTTACAGTAGTTTTCCATTTTACTGTAGGTAGCATCGAAAAATGAGTATCGGCAGAAAATCACAAACAAAAATAAACACTTTTTGAGGTTGAAATTTATAAACATAGCTATCAGCTGTCAAAATTATGAATACAAAATAAGGTAATACTCTAGCACCTACTACAGTCTTCCAATAACTGTTTTTTTCTTGGAAAAATAGTGCTGATGCACTAATAAAATAACGTAGATCCTTAATACTGCGAGGCAGTATTTATTAGTTCCAATAACTCTCTTTTGTGTATGGTTAGTGCGGGGCAGTAAATTTCCCTTATTTCAAATTTCTGACATTTTGGACGACTTTGACGTTTTGCTTTTCGACGATGACGTAATTTTAAATAGAAAATTTATTTTTTACAATAGTTTTCCATTTTACTGTGGGTTACATCAAAAAATAAGTATCAGCAGAAAATCACAAACAAAAATAAACACTTTTTGAGGTTGAAATTTATAAACATAGCTATCATCTGTCAAAATTATGAATACAAAATAAGGTAATACTCTAGCACCTACTACAGTCTTCCAATAACTGTTTTTTTCTTGGAAAAATAGTGCTGATGCACTAATAAAATAACGTAGATCCTTAATACTGCGAGGCAGTATTTATTAGTTCCAATAACTCTCTATTGATGAAATATGTGGTATCCTTGGAGAGATAAAAAGTAAAAATTCCTCTGGCATAGATGACCTTACACTCAGAGTGTTTGCGGCTTTGCCCAGACAGGCTTTGGAGATTATGGTAATGTTAATAAATCAATCTTTTGACGATGGTTGTTTTCCTTCTAGTCTCAAGACCGGTGTTGTTGTTCCGCTGTTTAAGGGTGGTGATCCGAAAAACCCTGCTGATTTTCGTCCAATCTCAATGTTACCTACGCTTTCAAAAATCATTGAAAAGCTTGTAAAGAAAAGAATGGTAGCCTTCATGTCTAGTCACAATATCCTGACTAGTTGTCAGTTTGGATTTTAAGCCTCTAAGGGTACTAGCGATGCGGTGTTCAGGCTTCTGGAGAGTGTGTACGTCGGTCTGAATGGAGGAAGTATGGCTGCAGCGGTTTTCTGTGATTTGTCGAAAGCATTTGATTGCGTAAATCACAGAATACTGCTGGAGAAAATGCATCAGTATGGTTTCAGGGGAGTGGCGTATGACTGGTTTTCGTCTTATTTGTCAGGTAGGAAACAGGTGGTTTGTTCTGAGGATGGTAGCTCAGATGAACTGTCAATGAGACACGGTGTTCCCCAGGGTTCGGTTCTTGGCCCAGTTCTTTTTCTATTGTACTTGAATGACTTGGCTAGACTAGATATTCGAGGCCGTTTTACCATTTTTGCAGATGATACGACCATCTTGTGGCTTGATGAAGATGCTAGTTTATTAAAAGATATCATAATTGAAGACCTACGACGTGTGAAGGAGTGGTGCGACACAAATTTACTTTGTTTCAATTTAAATAAAACTAGTGCTATTTCTTTTAGGTTTGTGTTGGATGATCTGAATGTGGACAATTATTTTGTGGCAAATAAGGCTAGCTGCAGGTTTCTGGGCTTGCACATAGACTCGGATTTAAAATTTAAAGAGCATATATTGTGTCTGAACAAGAAATTGGCATCTGGATGCTTTGCTGTTCGTATTGTCACGGGGCGGCTGGGGTCACTCATGGCTAAGTCGGTATATTATTCACTTGTCGAGTCTCATTTGAGATATGGGATTGCATTTTGGGGTTTTTGTAACAAACAACTTTTTAATTCTGTGTTTGTCCTACAGAAGAGGGCGCTTAGGTATTTATGCAAATTGAAGGCTAGGGACCATTGTAGGCCATTGTTTGTTCAGGAAGAAATCCTTACATTGCCATGTATTTTTATTTTGGAGACTGTCTCCTTGGTGCACAAAAAGTATAGAAATTTTATAAATCCCAACATCCACAACACACGTTATGGACATAATATACCATTACCAATACCCAGGAGTGGTTTTACCAAAAACTCTTTAATGTATGAAAGTTTAAAGATATACAATCATTTGCCGGATGAGTGGAAGGGTCTCCATGATCTTAAGAGTTTTGTAAAATGTGTAAAGTCCGTTCTAAAATTGAAGGCATACTATAGTTTAGAAGAGTTCTATAAGGATGTTTTTTAGTCGTTTAATCTTATATTAATTTTTACTTTGATTGTTTTGTTTAACTATTATATCGAGATTTTAAAAAAGTATTCCTGTTTTTGTGTAAATTTTGTATTTTAACTTAATTTTATCTAATCGGAATAGTATTTGTAGTATATTTGAACAATTGACTAGCCCTAAGTTATGTGTCTATAATTTATTTTGGATTGAGTATTGCTAAGTTTTAGAATTTAGGATTAAATTTATATTTTTTAGGCTTTGTCAATGAGTTTATTCTTTAGACAATAAAGCGTTATTTGATTTGATTTGGAATTAGTGAGAAAAGAGTGAGTCATAATATTTACAATCATATTTAAATAAATATACGCCACTGCCAAACCCGAAATACTAGTCGGCCATATGCAACCTCCACATATTTTGGTCGGGCAGATTAGAAGTTATGCTCCTTCCTGAGTTTTATATTCAAAGATGGTAACACACAACATAATTCAAATCAAATCAAATCAAAATATGCTTTATTGTTACGAAGAACATAATCAGTTCTCAAGAACAAAGCTGTAGGTATATATAAAAAGAAAATAGTATATCAAATCGAGATCAAATACATAATAATAATAATAATAATAAAACAGACAAACATACACATGTGTATACAAAACTTAACTCGAGATTTAACAAAAACTTACATCTATACAAATATATTAAAAATTCACAGATACAATAAAAATGATTTTACAAAAGCTAAATAGTGCAAAACAAACATAATACCTAATCTCTAACAAAAGACGAAAAAATAAAAAAAAATAAAAAAAGTTGTAACCAGCCACATATTAATTATTACATGCATTTTAAAATGTTTCACTGTAAAACTCTTCCAAGGTGTAGTATGCTTTAGATTGTAGTAAACGTTTTACAGATT